AAAGAATACCCGACTGTGATTAGTCAATTTCTTACGGCTTAAAAGATTAAATACTTATTGTGGACCGACACTAACCAATCCTAAAGAGATCTATAATAATAAAGATCAATAATCACTGGCCACTCCCTGATCGCTTATTCCGCTAAACGCAGCCTATTTCTATTTCTAGTTAATAGTAATTACTGACGCTTTTTATTGGTATCATGGATAAGTTTGCTCTTGCGGAATCTGATGTCATATAATGCTGATTGGCTAATTAAATATAAAATTTTTTAATTAATGGTCCACTGGAAAATTTTTAAATGGCGACGTGAAAATTTGTTATCAAAATGTCTCGAAACTAAGAACCCTCTTGTTTTTACAATTAATCCCGATACATCTACAATAGATGATTTAAGCCTTAAGCTATAAGAAATTGACCAATCATAGTCGAGTATTCTCCTATTCTTCGACTATGATTCGTCCATTGTAGACCGGAACTTACGGAATCTAACCAAGATGAAAATTACAAAGATGGAGGAAATTCACTAAAATATCTGCGATTTTATATATCGAAATCCAGTAAATTTCCTCATTTGTATTTTTATCTTATTTTAAAATATAAAATTCATCTGCAGACATTTTTTTACGTCCAGGCGTACGACGAATTTTGAAATGTGTTGATTGGTTACAATATACAAAATTCTAGAGACTTTAAAACTTTACTATTTTATAGCTTTTACAATAAGGATGTATATAAGTAGCTGAACACAAACGAGTGTTTACAAACAATCATGACACAGTATAATCAGTATGGGCACTTCATATCGATACCCTCAATCTTTGTGTCCATGTCACATGACCATTTCGCCATGCTACATCTAGTTATATTATTCAAGCACGAGAGAACGGTGGATTGGACGTGAGTGGTCGGTCTTTCCGAGTAGGATGGTCGCGTAGAGAGGGGTCGCGGGGGGGGGGAGGGGAAGGACCGCGTGAGCTCCGAATGTGGTGCGGTGCCGCGGGCGGTCACGCTCGACGACGTCTGCGGCAGTTGTGATCGGCGCGATTGGGACGTGAGTTGAAGCGTGGCGAACGAGCGATAGAACAAGAGAGAGAAGAAGAAAGCTATTCTTTGCCAGAGAGAAAGAAAATCACGGAACTCGCGTCCGCGTGATTTGATTGCGATCTTT